AAAACAGATCAAGTTCAGCCCCAACTGGAAAAACATCACTGTAACCACTGCCAAAATGGCAACAGACTGGGATGTCTACTAAGAACAATCTAAAATAAAAACAGTAAAACTCTGAATTGCAAGCTACTCTTCAGACATTAGAAATATCCCTATTTTAGAAACATATGGCCCACTTTTAAGCACTAGAATCAATTTGCAAACATGATAGCAGCTTTCTTAGTGTCACATCTGCTCACCTTGTATATCCTGACTAGCCAATGTTCTGTGGTATATGCTTCCTCCAGGACATCAAGCTCAAAGTCTTTATTCCCAATCTCAGCATTCCGCACACGGTCAAAGCCTGGTGGACGCTCTAGAAAGGGTCAAAAAGAGACACATTTCTTTCTACAGTGCTGATTTCCTGCAGTTTGTTTAGAGAGTAGGGCCTGTAGAAAAGGACATCAGGTACAAAGGCAAATCAAGTGTTACCCTAACTCAAATCCTCTCCACGATGATGCTTGTTATATCTTATAAGAGTAGGGGGCTGACTTTCAAGCCCCTCTATTCCTGAGGGTTGCCACCCAGAGGCCTCAGTGATACACGAGTAACCCTTGCATGGATCACAGAAGAATAAGTAATGGGTAAAAGCATAAAATTTAGAGCCAGATTGTCTGAGTTGAACCTGACTTTGCCACTAGTTATGTCATTTGGGGCAGTTAGGCATCCTATATGTACCTTAATTTCCTCATATATAAAATGGGAATAAGTATCTACTTTTTGGATTGTTGTGAGGATTAAATGAATTAACAGATGTAAAGCACTTTGAACAGTATCTGGCATATGAAAAACACTGTTAGCTATCACTGTTATTACTGTTATTATTAATGTTGTTATAAATCACTCACTGGCTTCAGTGTAGACCTGTCCAAAGCGATAGTAACACATCTTGTACATAAGGCAGTTGAGTAGCACTGGAGAACCCTCACGGTCCACACGGAATTCTCCAGTTGGAGTATAATAATCATGCTCCTTGATATGTCTGCCTGTGTCTGTGCTCCCTCCAATCCGGACCATCCACAAAAACTTGTTGATGTCTAGGGGAAAAAAAGAAAAAGAACTACTGCATCACAAAGGTTGCTGGAACTAAATCACCTAATGAAAAGGTCACTATTTCTAAGGAAATTCCCCAAATATTTAACTCTAATTTATAAAAATAGGAAAGATAATGTGTGGGCAAAACATTTTCTCTCAAAACATACAACCTTCCCTATAGATTATTAGACTCCTGAAATCCTATGCTATTGGTCCAGACTTAAGTCACAACTGAAATTAGTCCCACGTATTAGCTGGGGTTGAGCTGTTCAATACAGTAGCTACTAGTTACATGTTGAAATGTGGCTAGTGCACATTAAGATGTGCTGGAAGTATAAAATACACACTGGTTTTCTAAGATATAGTCCAAAAACAAAACAAAGTGGGTAAAATATCTGGATTACATGTTAAATAATAATGTTTTAGATATACTTAAATAGAATTATTAAAATTCATTCCCTTATTTCTTTTTACATATTTTGATGCAGCTAATAAAAATTTTTAAATGTTGTTATATGCCTCTACTATAATTCTATTGAACAGTACTGACCTAGGGAGCAGATGAAGCTTTACCAGAAAGAGACATGAACATGCTCCCTTTCTTGACCTATAGTTGCAAAGTTACAAACTTCCAAAGCATACATCTATGAGAAGCCAACATTTCTATGTCAAACACACTACCTGGATCCAAAAATACTGATACCATCGTCATCTCATAAAACAAAATAAAATCCCATACATCTGTATAATAAACATCATGTATTACATATTCACACACAGCTGTATATCTCTCTGAGAGTATGTCTCTCTCTGTATCCCCTTCACAGGGGATGGTGAGTATAAAAACTATCATTGCTCTGTAAGAAAAAAAGATTCTTACTGAACTACTGCAGAAGGTTCCAAGTTATATCAAAGTGGTTAAGAATACAAACTCTGGATCTAAACTGCCTGGGTTTGAATCCCGGCACTGCCAATTCGAAATAGGTAAGTAACTAACCTTCGGCAAGTTACCTAATCTCTCTGTGCTTCAGTTTCCTCATCTATCAAATTATAAATATGAGAGTAGCTACAACAATAGGGTTGCTACACTATTATAAGTATATGTAAAGCATTTAATATAGCATTTATCACATAGTAAACATTCAATAAATAATGTTACTACCCTCATATAGTATTTGCGCTCTTACAAATGGAAAAACTGAGACACAGAGCTTGCCTAGATCCCAGCCAAAAACAGGACCAGAGACAAAACCCCAGAGCATCAACTTAACTATCTTAAAGCACTGATTCTGTAGCTTCCTGTTGGGTATGTCCAAAGCAAAAACCTGACAAACTTTAAGAATGGAAGAGTGGACAGCAAAAGAAACAACAAAATGAAAAGACAACCTACAGAATGAAAGAAAATGTTGATGAACCATATATTGGATAAGAGCTTTATATCTAAAATATATAAAGAACTCATAAAACTCAACAACAAAAAAACAAATAATCCAATTTAAAAATCATCAAAGGACGACCTAAATAGACTTATTCCCAAAGATATTTAAACGGCCAATGGGTATGTGAAAAGGTGCTTGACATCACTAATCATTAGGGAAATACAAATCAAAACCACAATGAGTTATCACCTCATACCTGTCAGAATGGCTATCATCAAAAAGATAAGAAATAACAAATGCTAGTGAGGATGTGGAGAAAAGGGAACTGTTGTGCAGTACTGTTGTTGGGAACGTAAACTGAAACAGCTACTATGAAAAACAGTATGGAACTTACTCAATAAATTAAAAATTGATTCACCAATATGATTCACCAATCCCACTTCTGGGTATATAACCGAAAGAAATGAAACTATTATCCCAAAGAGATATCTGCATCTCCGCGTTCACTGCAGCATTATTTATGACAGCCAAGACATGGAAACCACCTAAGTTCCCATAAAGGAATGAATGGATAAGAAAAAATGACATATACACAGACACATACATATATGTAATGGAATACTATTCAGCCATATAAAAAATAAAAAAAAAAACACTGCCATTTGAACATAGATAGACCTTAAGGGCATTATGATAAAATGTGAAATAAGTAAGAAAAAGAATACTGCATGATCTCATTAATATGTGGAATCTAAGAAAACTAAACTCAGAAACAGAGCAGGCTGGCGGTAGGGGAATTGGGTGAAGGTGGCTAAAAGGTACAAACTTCTTAGTGTTAAGATAAATAAGGCCTGGAGATGTGATGGACAACGTGACTATAGTTAACAATACTGTATGTTAGATATATAACTGAAAACTGCTAAGAAGCAATTTTAAAAGTTCTCATCACAAAAAAAAAATTGTAACTATGTGAAGGTGTAGATGTTAACTAAACTTACTGTGATAATCATTTAGCAATATGTACATATATCATATCTTTATGTTATATAGTGTAAACTTATACAATTGTTATATGTCAACTACATCTCAATAAAACTGGAGAAAAAAGGTAATACATAAATGAATGGGCACAGTTATGCTCTTAATAAATAGACCTCTGGTCTACTGGATTATCTGTCAATGATAAGTATCTTATCTGAAAGTTTCCACACAATATTTGAGAAAACATTTTAAATCTCTCATTTGTTTCCTATTAAAAATTTCAAAACTTAAAAAAAGAATGGAACAGTAAAAAATAATAGGAATTGCATCAAGGACAGCCTACTGCTAAAAGGCATTGTTTACAAAAAAGGAAAAGTTAAAGAGTAGTCTTGTATCAAATTCTAACATAAGAGAGTTAGGACTATGAACAGATCTAAATATATTATTTTATATATGCATAAGCATTTAATAGAAAATGAGATAAACATAACTTGCAAAAGGGCAAAATCTTGTCCATAACACTAATATCCCAAAATAGTTTGAATTAAGACATTTAAGTAACATGAGATATGACCATGAAATAATGAAACTTTTTAAAAACACAAAAGAATTTTTATAACTGAATGCCCATTATCCTTTCAGAAAATGTCGATTTTTCGAACTTGTACCACTCAGCATAAAAATGCTCAAGACATTTTAGAATTTCTCATTTGGAACTTTCTTCAGAGCCAAAGTCATATCTGTGTGTGTGAAGTATGACTGACATAAAAAAGCTGGACATATTTAACGTGTACAACTTAATGAGATGTGTCTCTTTTTTTTTTAATAAACTCAGAGGGCAGGAAAGAATAATGACTGAAGATAAGTTGGGGCATGCGGTGAGGAGGGATCAGCAATTGAAGCAATACCAGTGACTATTTTTTGGCACATATTTTATTTGTGTGTTTGTGAAAGAGGGGGAGAAGTGGAGAGGAGGATAAAGGGAGGGGGGAGAGAAGCTATTTTAAATTGTTAAAAAGTATTCACAGAAGGCACCAGCTGAAATGTTACCACGATTAAATAATAAAAAAAATAATAACCTCTAGGCTTTGGGTTCACTCCTTCTCATGGTACGATACCTTTCAAAATTTTCAGAATTCCAACTAATAAAGCCTAATAATTTGAGCTTGAGAAATAAATTTAGTATGAGAAATTAATACTGTCTTCTTTTATGATTTTCACATGCATGCTACCATGGATTTAGATGAGTGCTGTTTTTAGTGGTTATGTTATGTTTTCTTTTTAAAGTCTAGCTTCTATAGAAATACATAGATCAGAGTAATTAGCGTCTATAGAAATACATAGATCAGAGTAATCATCATTCTTTCAACAATTCAAAAGCATAGCATAATATCTAAAGAAAATTTTTCTCTGCTTTATGAATGAATCTTTATGTAAACTTAACCTAAGCTATTATTCACACAATTAAGATCTATTTAAATCTCTTATTTTCATATTTTTCTAGTCCTACATGATCAATTCATTATGAAGGAGCAGCGTCTTCATCTTCATTCAAACATTTGTGTTATCACTATATACATGCACAAACAAAAAAATTTGTAATACTAAGTGTGGCAAATTGGTACTACCACTGGGAATCACTTTGCCAATATCCTATTAGCTTCGAACAAATGCATTTGTTCTAAACCAGTAATTCTACACTTTGTTATTTACGTTCACAGAAAACATGTACCAGACCGTTCATAACAGCATGATTCATGATAGCCCCAAACCAAACATAGCACAAATATCCATCAATACTAAAATGCATACATTGTGCTATATTCACACAATGGAATACCATACAGGAATGAGAATTAAGAAATTTTGGCCCCCCACAATATGAATGAATCCTGCAAACATAATACTGACCAAAAAAGCCAGAAATGAGAATATACATTTATAAAGTTCAAAAATAGACAAAACTTTCCAGGTATAAATATTTCAAAAATTAATCGAACTACAGATTTTAAATATGTGCAGTATACAATATGTTAATTATGCTTCAATAAATCTGTTTCAAAAACAAACAAATGGCACTAGAAGCTGAGATAGTGGTCACCTTTGGAAGATGGTGGTAGATAATGCAAGCGGTATGGGAAGAATTTCTAGAACACCTGTAATGTTGTTTCTTGGTCTGAGTGCTGGTTACATGGATATGTTCCCTTTGTGAAAATTCATCAAGCTATACACTTACAATATCTGCAGTTTTTAAATGTTAAACTTTAACACCAAGTTAACTTTAAAAAGCTGTATAATCAAGACCTCTTGACCTTATTGCTTTTTCTTGTCATGCTAAATTACTTTGTCAACGGTCTTACATGCTAATTTTCTTAATTTCACACACAAAAAATATAATATGTACCGTATAATAACACTCATTTTTATGTCAGCATTAAATATATACTTCTATTCACCTTAGCAAGCAGTAAAAGGTTGACTGACTGTGGTGACTTAACAATGATTAGTGCTAAGATTTTAAGTAACTATCCCTTTCTACCATATATATGTATACATTTATATATATAAAATATATACACATATATGTACATGTACAAATACTTTTCTGTAGTAGCTGGATATATTATTATCATTAAAGTGAAAACATAAATAATTACACACAGCAAACACACAGCAAAATAGTACTGGTGCAATTGTCTGTGAAAGTTCAAGTCTGTGGACACCATCTCTGTTATCATCATTCTTCCTCAGCTTATACAAGACACACATGGAAACCAGTCTTACTACTTTATATTTACACTTTATTTGTACTATCAGGATGGGTTTGTTAAGTCTGTCTATATCAGAAGCCAGGGATAATCTAAAATTTTAATATCTTTCAGAAGCAGCCATATATCCACAGAAAATGAAGATAGAAATATGACGTAATTATTGACAGGAAAACAAGTTATTATAGATAAACATGTAACTATGGTTTACTTGTCGACTCAGAAGTGAATAATATTTACATATTCATAATTTTGAAAACACTTTATATGAATTTCATCTAAAATTGAAAATTAGCTCCACTGAGAAGCAGCACTAGGGAAAGGAGGTGGGGTTGGGCAAGGGTTGGATACAAAGAACTAAGTTCCTTATCTACTGTAATAAGTTGATACGGTGTATCTAAAATGATAAGTGAATAGCAAAGAATACATATTATTGAGATACATAAATAGAAGTATTTACAAAAAACAACGGGAGAAATAACTGTCTCTGGGAATTAATGTTTTAAGGGGGTTTAGGTTTACGGGCAGGGGAATACCATCCTTTATTATAAACCTTCAGAAGAGTTTAACATTTTAAAGTATAAACGGGTATTGCTTTAATTTTTTAAAATATTTTTTAAGGCAGAGAACAATATTTAGATGATTCTTCTAAAAATATAGTTTTCCTAATAATCATAGGGAACATATAACATGTACATACTTAAGTTCACTTTCAGAAGCCTCATATTGTTTTTTTTACTGGTTGTGGAACTACTCTTAGGTCTGAAAACAAGTATAGCATGCTGTACCTACATAAGAAATATTTACATTTACTTCCTACTTGTTGCCCACCTACCCCCCCCAAAAAAAATCAAAATAACCCAACCTCAAGTTGCAAATAGTTTTGAAATTCTCCAACTAAAAAAATATTAATAATATATCAGTAAAAGAACAGAAAAATGGGAATGCCATCTAGTTTTCTTAGAATCTATACCCTATTGCTGGAAATAGAATCAAGTACATTACCATCAGAGGAATATCCAGTAAGGCCTCCAAAAATGACCAGCACATAGCTAACATCAAGCTCCCTCATGATCTCATAGGCTTTTTCTTCTGTGGATGCCATTGCCTAGAAAAATAAATGCACATTTCTCAGAGAAAAATTCCTGGTCATATGATCCCTCATGGAGAAATTTTACCACTAGACCTTATATGCCAAACACTCAAATGATCCCTTCACCTTACCTGCCCTACTCGAGAAATATGGGTATTATTCCACGTGTTATTGTCCACTAAAATCGTCCGATTTGCCATAGCTGTAATCTGGTAGCCATAATCCCACCATGACATTACCTTCGCATCCTGAAAGAAACATGGGCAATGGAAATAACAAGTGTCCCACTGCCTCCAAAAATCAAATACAAGAGAAGTAGTGGAAGGGCATCTAATAGGAAATGAGGCATGGCTAATTAATCAATTTCTTTACAAAAGAATGCATGCCTAAACAGAAAATAAATCTTTGCACTTGGTTCTATATTTACATGCAATCATGAAAACTCAGTGCAAAATTATACAATCCAATATTCCCAATACTTTCACCCAGATCACCTTATACAAAGATACTGGGGTGGGAAGTGTAGGAGACTATTCGATATTTACATATAAATAGCCTGATGTCATGCAGTAACTGTATGAAATGACCTTTAACAATATCACAAAAATCAGTTGTTACAAAGATAGGGAGAAAACACAAATCACAGGATATGATGAGAAAGGATTACAAAATACATAAAGTTTGGACTCCTTAAGAATCTAATCCAGAAGTGCTATTTACAATGGTTACTGCAAACGAAATCACTTCAGATTCTCAAACGGTATCAACCAAATGTTAAAAATGGTTATCAATAGGTAATCACTTTATGGAAAATTTGTATCTCTTTCCTTGCTTCTATGTTCTGATTTTTCTACAATAAATACGTATTATTTACCTGTAAATTTTTTTCTTTTTTATAACTGGATGGTCTACATCATGAGAAAATCACCATACCATGTTGACAATACAAGTATGCAAGCAGAGTGTACATAATTACCAATAAAGGTTATTACAGACCTATAAAAAATCCTTAATTGAATGGAGACGACCTTTAGGGCTCATTCAACACTAGAGTTCCATAGTTCCAATTTCTCCAAGCATTCTAGCCATCTAAAAGCTATGATTCCCTATAATATCAAATGTCTCTCCCTCCCCCCAACCCCATAAGCCCACTCCTTCCAAATCTTCACCTCTGGAGTATTGTGACGAAGCCAATAGTATGCTTCTCGAAAGTCATCAAAAATGATCCTACTGCCATCCCCACCACGAGCAGAGAGCACAATGGAAGGAGAAGAGTAGGCCTCACTGGTCACCCAGGTTGAATGAAAGGTGTAGGTGATGAGAAAGAAAGCCATGACCAATATCATCCCACTTGCCACCTGAATAAGAAAGAATGGCGTTGTAAAACCAAATTAAATTTACAGAACACAGAACAGCTTCTTACACGCAGTCAATAGTATAGATGACATGAATCAAAGTAAGTCAGGCACTATATGAGTTAATTCTGACCACTTATGACAGCATTCTACCCCTTACTCAAAAAATAAATATATAGAGAGAGATATCTATATCTATATAAACACACACATGCATAAGCACACACAGTTTCCCAAGACTGCTCTTAGTGTTGCTTAATTCTCACTTCATTCTTAATAGGGTAGGTAGAATCCTGTTGCTTCTTGTTCTTCTTGTCCGGACGACTTATATCCAGATTCTTCATGTACGTAGACAGCACCTGGGAGACTCCAATGCCAGAAAGAATGCACATAACGGGTGCCAAAACTAGCATTAGACGCACCTAAAAGAGACAGGCAGCCACAGCACGGTCTATTCAGTGTTTTACAAATTACAGATTTTACCCTATGAGTAGATTATGACATCAATTTAGGGGTTTTCAACAAACTTGATTTTTCAATGAATTAGAACAAAAAAGAAGAGAAAATAATTGATACATCTACAAAAGCATATTTCCTAAACTGTTTTTTCAGTTAAATATATGTATATATGTATGTGTGTCCTGAGTAATGATATGACATAAAATGTATTTCTTAACTGTGGTTTGGGACCAAAAGGGTGTTAAGAAACACTGTCTTGCTACTATACATAAAATCACTCCATTTTAGCAAACTAGCACTCAACAATCCTCCCAGGCCTTTAAGAAAAAAAAGTCATCTCTCTTGTTAAGACACCCAGAAAGACAGTGGAAGGAATCTGCCCAGGGTCACTTTCTCCAACAAGTATAAAAGTGCCTCTCCTTAACACAAGGGTTATGAATCCAAGAAAGTCGGGCCCCACAATCAGAATGTATGAGTACCTCGGACATTCCAGCAAAAAGTGAACAGTGAGCAGCTTTATGACTCAGCCCTCAAATGCTCAGAGGGAAGCATCTGTACAATCATCAGTATTTTCTGAATCCGTCTATACAGCAAACTTAAAAGCACCTCAGAGTTAGGGATGCAAAGCCTTGCTAGGACTGAGGGCATTCCTCACCATTACAGCTGAAAAGTACATGCTGGTCACACCATACATGATGATGAAAATCCGGGCATCAGAGAGGTTGCTAAAGCAGTAATAGAGACCAACTACAAAAGTAAAAGTAAAAAAGGAAATAAGCAGCTAAAAAAACAATCATAGATATGTGCAAAGATGTTTACTACAGCACTCTTTAAAACACAAGAAATCAGAAACCACCTAAATGTCCAACATTAAGGAAGTAAATTATAGTATAATTATAATACAGAATGTAATATATCAATTAAAATATTGCTACAGAGATTATGGACCATTCGCCTTCTCCTATATACATCTCTATACTTTAAAAAACAAATGATATATCATAAATATTATCTCTCTAAAATAATACTAAACAGAAATTATCATGATTCTCTGAAATGAAAAAATCAGGGGAAAAAACTGTACCATATTTTTTTCTAATAAATGGATGAACATACATCAAAACATTAAAAGTAGCAACAGATGTGTGGTGACAACCTTTTTTTCACTTGTCAATATTATTTACAATAGACAACTTACTTTCATTGTAAGAAAAAAATGTAAAAGTTATTTTATTAAAAAAAAAAAGAGAGAGAGAGAGAAAGCCCCCTACCACTGGTACATTTTTAAATGTATCTGGTTTGGCCAGAAGATAAGTTAAATGAAGAGGCTTTACAATAAACTGTGCCTTTTCTCGAACTCCAGTACTGCCAAGATAAATGGGGAGGAGTCAGGGATGGGCAGTAGAGAAGATACACACCAGAAATACTAAAAAAAAAAAACAAAACTGAATATAAATTAAGGTTGAATTTTAACTTATAAATAAAATTAAAACTGAAAAAGGCTCTAAACTTGTGAGTGTCTGTGACTGTTCAATGTTGATACCTACTTTGCTTCAAATATTAGAAAAAAGTGCTTGGCCATGCTCTGTACTGCATAGGGTAAACAGGCACAAAACAAAAACACAAGGATGAGGGTATTTTACTTATTTTGAAACAAATGGTAATTCTCACAAAGGCCATTTCAGAACACAAGGCAGACAGACCTGGAAACATGAAGACAAGAAGCTGCAGGTCAAAATAGTATGAAGACCAAGTCGTAGGCTGATGCTCAGACACAGAAGCAATGATGGGGATGTTGTTCTTAGCATAAGAAGGATCCAGCAGTGAGTAGAAACGCCCGGTCCAGGGAGATATTTTTCCTGGCAGCAAAGAGGCAACAAATATTCCACATTCACTTCTGAAACAAAATAACATCTAATTCTAACTAATCAAAACTTTCCATTTTAATAAGATTCTCTGAGAAGGAGAAGGACTAAGGCTTTTTAGATGCCACCAATACTTTGAGAATTTCACTCCTTCCTTTCTTTCAAACTTGAGAGTACATTTGTCAACAGAGCTGGCAGAATAAAGTCAGGCTGTATATAATAAACTCAGAAGAACTGCATCTTGGAAGGGTTTAGGTCAAATCTGGTCAAACCAAGGCCAACTCTATAAACTAAGTCAACTACATTCTCCGGTGCTGCTCTGAATTAGACAATACACAAAGCCTTGGCAAAATCAAACCAGCCACTGACAAGTAGATATGAAGAATGGGTGGCATGCCAACCAAACAAAACAGTCGTGGTTTAGTGCATAGAGGACTACATATTGTAGGGTATGACAAGCAATGTTAGGCTTTCTCCCACACTACCTACTGAAAAAAAGTAAAAAAAGCAGAGAAAGATTAATAACAACGTGAGATACAGTCCTTTCACCAAATGTGATTCTTCCAAGATTAAGAGCTGCTCTAACAAGACATTCTTTGATATACTGAATCCAAACACTGGGCTGAGAAGTGAAATGAATATTGAAAACTTCATATATTTAAAATGAAAACAGAAATAGGAAAAGAATGAATCTTTCCATGGTCAGGAAATAACCCATATTTTAAAGTTTATTCTATGCCTGTACCCATTTACATTTAACACTAAAAGCCATGAGCCTTCCTACCTGTCAACATGAGGAGAGCTCCCACGGTGAGAAGGACAAAGCCTACCAGGGAAATGACACTTCGGAAAAGAACTTCAAATTGCTGTGGGTTCAATTTGCTGCGCAGATAATCTACAAAGGCATGGATCTGGCAGAGACCAAAGACCCCAAAGGCTGCCATGTGCTCTGATGAAAGGACGGGCTGTCAGTAAAAGCAAATGTGTGAGAAAAATGTCAGGAAAAGAGTAGGTCTAGCCTAGACCTGAATTATGTTGACCTAGTTCAGACCAAAGGGTCAAATGAGTTCTGAAGCCATTAAGGAATTAGGACCAATCTAGGGGAGGGTCTAATTCACCTGCCACATTTTCCAAAAATATATGGAGTCCTCCAAAGCAAACCATACCCCATTATTATCACACCTCTGGCCTTTGCTCAGGCTATTTTTTTAGCCTGTATTGCAATTTTCTCATTTTCCCAAAATGTGCATTCACTAAAATTCTCATCATTCAAGGCCCAATACAAATATCATTTCCTCTAATCTGCCAAACTGAAATTGATTACTTCCTGTATGTTCCCTGCAATTTAGATCTCTTCCATCACTTAAAATTCTTTGCTTAGATCAGCTGTTCTCAAAATCTAGTTGGCATCGTAATCATGGGGGTGGAGAGAAAAAGGGGTGTTAAGAGGATTGCTGAGCCCCACCCCTAGAGTTTCAGATGCAGTAAGTAGGTCTGTGGTGGGGCCCCAGAACTCGCACTTCTCACAAGTTCCCAGATACTGCGGATGCTGCTGGTCCATGAACTACATTTCCAGAACTACATACTATACACTGTAAACAGCTGCATGCACTTCTTTCCCCCAAGCAAGACTGTAAATTCCTTAAGGAGCAGGGCCATGTTGTTACTTTTTACATTTCTCAGTGACTAGCAAATTGCACATAACAGGTGATCAGTAAAAAAATACGTGCTGACACAAGCAGTCCAAAGTTAGACCTGTAAATAAGTCTTACTCTTCTCACTAAAATCCAAAATAAATCAACCTAGTTGGAGATACTTAGAAAAAGAGGAAGAAGCTAAAAATCTCATTCAGTCTAGGGCTTACCTGGAAACCCACGAAGGAGATCTGCATGGAAAGAATGGTGCCCAGACAGTAAACGGTACAGTAGGCCACATAGATCCGGTGGGAGAATCGTCCTGTGAGCATCAGCACCAGTACATGGAGAGGAATCAAGTTGATCAAGAATACGTAACCTCCCCATGAAGAGACCTATGACAGGATAAAATAGAACGGTTCCTCTGAGCACTTGTCACACCACCACTATACCTGTGACCTTTTTAAAGAACATCTCTTTATAGTAACTAATAAACTTTATTTATGCCAAGTGGCTTAAAGAGTTTAAATAACTAATTTCTTTAAATAAAAAAATCAAATTCACACTCACTGCTGTAATTCAGTCTCCTGTTCCCTATGGCTCTTGCCAAGAAGATCACAGAATAAGAGGTACCCAACCTTCATGGTTAATCTAGATGCAATCTACTATAAGATCACATGGAGGATTTAGGGATACATGTGAAATGTGAGCAAGTAGAAGCAGTTAAGGGAAGCAGTCTAAATGTATGTGTAAGACTGAATGACTACACACACACACACACATATATATAAAATATATATCTTATATATATCAAATAATATATGAAATCACATATGTATTTCATATATCTTATTTCCTTTATATATACATATATAAAGGAAATAAGATATATATGAAATACATATATGAAATCAATATGTATATGAAAAGGAAAAATTTAAGGAGAACATCTCAGAGAAGAGAGCTGGCCAGCCAATATGTACCAACAGGAAATACAGTATCTGGAGAATTTTACAAAGTAAAACATCTCTATCTTTTTATACAATGGCTCTCCATGCCGTCCTTGGATTAGGCTTTGTATGGATACAAGAGACAATAAAGATTTCTAGCCTCCGGTCCATAGTTTCAAAGCCCAAAAGCTACTTCCAATTTATAGCAGTTGATCCCAGTAGGTATTCAGATATAGAGAGTGTCCTGGAAGAAAAGAGTGAAAAGTTACCATGTAGAAATAAGCAAGGGCACACTTGGCTGCCCAGTAGATGGAACCAGTCTTTACTGCTTTGATCCACATGTAGTAGGTGAGTAGCATGCAAAAGATGGCAATTCCTGTAAGAAGAATACAACAAAAAGTCAATATAGGGCCATGCTGGCATAATATTTAAGAATACTGCTTTGGAACAGGCTGCCTGGATTCATATCTTAGATCTACTACCCTTAATAGTATAATTATTTTTACCTCTCTTTGTCTGTTTCTTGTAAAAATGAGTCCATAATAGTATCTACCTCATAAGTGTTGTGAAGACTAATTTAATTATTGCATGTAAAGCACTTAGAATAGTACTGTGCATACAGCAAGCACTCAATGAGTGTTGGCCATTCTTATTAATATTCTTCCCAGGCACTAAATTCCCCGCTAGTGTAGTCCTAAAGATATCCCATACCATCCTGCTACTTCATCTCACCATGAGCTGGGCCTTTGGCTCTCACTGCCCCTTTCTTTAACACTTGCCTGTTGGCAAATTCCAGCCTCAGGGTTCAGTTCAACCTTAACTACTTCCAAAAAGCCTGCCTGGATCCCCAAATCTGAATTAATGTCTCCTTTCATTACATTCCCAAAGGATTCTGTTCAAACTTCTCTCATGACACACAATACTATCTGCCTGTTATTATTTTTATAGATCTGTACTGTATATGTCTTAAATAGATTATGGGCCAACATAATTTTATTCATTATCTACCTCTATAATACCTTAATTATGAGTCAAAATAACCTTATTATCTATCTTTATAATATCTAACATTGTGTTTTCCCAATAACATTCAATAAATATAGGTTGAATTGAAAATAAGTCAATAAAAGTCATTACTGTTTTAAGAACATCCATTCCTCTTATCTCAGAAAATAAAGCAAATGAATAATGTTAAAACAAGAGTACCACTCAACACTAAAAATTAACTCTACTTTTATAAGTCCAGAGATGATCAAAAGGCCTTCTACAAGGAAAATTGCCAGCTACCTCTCTACAGAGGATAACAGAGAGAGAATACAAACTGGTCTGAAGTCCCTCCTTGCCCATTTCTAATTTTCTTGCCCAAGTACCATTTTTTGCTACTGCTAAACAGATTTGAAACCAGATTCTACTGAACTTCATGAAATTCTACTGGGAAATGAAGTGGACAGATCCTCTTACCTTCATTATCATAGGAGCCAGCCACAGATCGGGAGATATATCCAGGAACTACAGCAATCATGGCAGCAGCAAGAAGTCCAGCCCCTGCATCCTGTAAGAAAAGAGGGGTGACAGGAAGTGAACACCAACACATCTATGAAAGAGAAGAGAGGATCCACTAGTCCATTCTGTTTAAAATGGGCCCAGAGAACATTCCAACACTTTCAAAGGTAGATGTGATGCTAGAAATGTTCACGGCACAAGAAAGCTAAAAATTTCATACCGATTCCCCATGATGATACCAAGTCTGAAACTGAGTACACATATGCGAAAAGCAGACAAATCATGTAAGTTGTCAGACATCAGACACTGCTCCAGAATGAGCTGTTTGGCTGGAGTATCCCCAGGCTTATGAGTCACTATCTTTAACAATATCTGGACACCACAGGAACACCAGTCACACCTCCAAAAGCTATGCAAGTACAAGCAAAAGAAGACAATTATTACTTGAGCTAAAAAGCCAACAAAGATAGGTGATTATCTATTTGGACTAAAGATGCCAAGAGCTTATATAATAAAGTTGGAGTCTCACCGGGCAATCTATGACCTCAGGAAAGAGGAAAAATAAAATGTAAACCACACTCCAAAAGAGTAAGGACTTGTCTGTTGATAAGAGTTAAATTGGAAACAAGGGCAGCAAGGAGAAGGATGAAAGGTTTCCAAACTGAACTCGAGTTTCCCAAACCCTCTTACTAGTTTACCACCTCTCAGGTATCTCCCTGACACCACAGCCACAAACTAAGAATAGCCAGAGTCAGTAATGCAGAAACCTAGAAAAATAAAGTCAGCATGATGGAGTCTACTATGAAAGTAAAGTGGTTGAAAATTTTTTAAATAAGTGTTTAAAAAGTCAACAAATAATTTCTAAGTGTCCATTTTCAGTAGGAAGAACTAACCACTTTAGGATAGTTCCTGTAGTTACTTTTCCTCTCTCTTAGATTGTGAGGACTTCAAAATCTAAACCTCACATTTTGCATTTTAAATGTTTTTTCTCTTTATGTAGCAATTTACATTTGACCTTCCAAAGTTCCCTTATAAGAATAAACAGTTGTTAATAATAAGAAACCACATATTCTAAGGAGGGGCTGCAGTGACCCAATAATTCGGCCCAGCAAAAGGTGTCTTTAGCCTCTGGCTCCCTGCCCTGCTACCACTCAGCCCCCCACCATTTACTGTCTACTAGAGAGGTTCAACAACATTCATTCCCAAACCTCCTGTCACCCCAAATCCTTCACCTTGAGCTCTTTGGTAAGGTGGTACGTGACGATGGTGGTGAAGGAAGAGAAGAGAGGGGCCAGGAACACACAGACATTCCGAATGTCGATGGTGATGTGGAAAAAATGGAGTACATGGTAGATTGCAGCAGAGGTGATCATTAAGCCTATAACAGGAAGAAGAAACTCCATTAAGTTATCCTAGGATAAAGAACTTATGGGAACGGGAAAATCCAAGTATCAACACAGGTCTCGATAAACCACCAGCAATACTAACAGAGTAACTGCAGTAGGCCTATTAATTTCTCCCTTGAGGATTTAGAGGTCCAAACTTTATGGAAAACCACCCATTCCCACTCTTCCATACATGTTCTCCTGTCTATATAAGATCCACTTTTAGGAATCTATAATCAGAACGAAATTACAAGTGTCACAAAATGAAAATATTAGGAAAAAAAGAAACTTTCAAAATATGCAAATACCTTATTTCTGTTTTTTGGTTTTTTGGTGTTTTTTTTTTAAATCTGTTTCCCTCACCTGGGTAAATTGTTCCTCCAATGATTCGGCCCAAAGGATACCAGGCCCGGTCATCAAACCAGTTATGGAATTTATAAAACCCCTCCTCAGCCAGGAAGCGGGTAGTCCGATAATTGAAGTACCTATAGCAAAAAAGAAAAGATCGTGTTTCTTCCTCTTGTACTCAAATACTTGCACCAATTTGCAGTGAATTTTGCTTCTCAGTTTATACCATTGTGGAACTTATCATTACTCTAATAAAGTCAGTTTGGTACCAAAAATTATACCAGCCATGAAAATCATTTTATGTTACTGTAGGTCTCATTTCTAGCTCCTGGAATTACCACCAGTCAAACACCCAAAAGAGAGGACAGCTGAGATGTGGGCATCAATAAATTTGGCTCTTTTAAAGAACATGCAAAAGAACATTTCCATACCATACACAAAGACACATGGATAAGTTCAAGTGATGAACATCTCTAAAGATGTTGGTTTAACATCATACACTGTATGAAAATGTTTAACCCACTCTATTACATGAACTTCTTAATAAGTGCTGAAACTTATAACAAGGTCAACTCATGTTGTTACTAAAAATAGTTCTGAATGCCACCTACCTAGTAGCTTTAAAAATTACATTAAAAATATTTGATATAAAATGCTTAGTGTTTACATGGAAAGACACAGTTCTTTGGTCCTTTTCTAAACGTCTCACTTAAAAGAGAAATTTTTAAAAAAACAAAAAATAAATATAAATAAAAATATAAACAAATACAAGGAATTGTTTAATTACTAAAGATAATCATGACTAACCATCTTTCCTGCCCACCCCTTAACCCTACTTCCTTGTTGGTCAAGTTTTAGCAGCAACGGTAGAAGCGGCAGATGGCAGAAATCTCTATCCATCTGTTTGTTCCTAATGAATATTATTTTGGTAACTGTCAAAAAGATGGAAGGGAAAGCGGGTAACAGGTAGTCAACATGTGTCAGAACTGTGTCCTTTACCTAACAGTAACAGAGCCAGAGTGAGACAGAGGAAGTAGTTAGCGGGAACAGGTCTGGACAAGGCTCAGACCATGGGCCTATTTCCTGCTCTGCAAAAGTGTTGAATCACAGGATCTTTACAGTCCTTTCCAGTTCTATGACTACAAAGCAGATATTCTTGCTTTCCCTGACCATTTCACCTCAATGTTTGCTCATCTAGAGGGCCTGAGAAAAAAAGCCTTAACACACTGTTGATTAAGAAACAAAAGGATATAAGTTTCCTCATTGATGAGAAAAAAATATCAATTAATTTAGGGACTCCCAAAGAAACTATTTGTACGCCTCCAAAATGCTTTTGAATATCTACATAGAAAAAAAATGATAAATTTGCAAATACAGAAAAAAAAAAATGTCATGAATCTCAAGTTCATGACTTGTGATTTTCTTTTGATCCTCAAACACACAGCAGACCACTATCCCTCAATGTGCAACACTGTTGACCAAGTTGAAAAGCCAGACTGCTCCTAACCTAACCAGATCTTAAGTCATAGGCAGGCACATCAGTAATGCCTCTCACATTTTTTATAGATTTAAGACTCACTTGTTAATTCCAACAGAAATGTTGCAAAGAAGACAATTATCTCCTTTGGAAAACTTAAGGATGTTTTCTCCCTAAATGTATAGAAGTACATCCCCATTACTAAGCGCTGACTGGAATGTGAATTTGAAACATATGAACCTGAATGCTTCCCCCAAAAAATACCAGACCAAGCAAAGGTACTCACGGATCAAACTCATGGATGACACTTTCAAATCTCAGAACAGCAAAGAGACGAGTGGAGAATGCTGCAAATACCAGAGAATTAATATTTTTATGGTAATATGCTATGAAAATAATAGTAGGCAGTAGTATTATAGAGGTAATAGTATTATCCATCTCAGAAGACAGAGAAAGTATAAAATGACCCCTGAAAAAGATACAAATCCATCCTTCCCACATAGAAGAAAAGACAATGACCTCTGACAATGAAGCCTACATTTCTACTTAGGCAGGACACATTTAACTACTTATTATCAACGTCTGTAACAATGCATTTACCTATTAAAACTGCACTCGACTTACATGGTCATCTTTTATATATGTTGACCTTCCCACAACTAACCTTAACTTTGGAGCAAACTAAGAGGTAAGGAAATCAAGACTATACTTGTAACTCATGCTGAGCTAAAAATCAAAACAAACAAACAAACAAAAAGAGTAAGTTCTGAAGAGACTTTCAAAACTACTAAGGCAGGCAAACTAAACTGAAGAAAATTGTCTTCTCTAAATTCAGCATCCATGGTTCACAGTATCTCTTTCAGCTCCATGAGAAAACAGAATTAGCACAGCGTGTTTCCCATTCTTTCCCAGATGAAAGCTAGTCCTTCTATAATCTTTTTTATTTTGCCTTCATAAAATTATACTGATGGAGAACAGTAAAAAGAACACACTACAATCTGCTGGAAAAAAAAAACAAGAAAGCCATACTTGACTTTTTTCAAGATTTTCTCCTTTCAATCCCCTAAGAAAGAGAGGTCCACATGCATACTCACATAACACAGCAGCCATTGACAGAATGAGAAGCTTCAGAAGTGTGTCCTGCTTCTCATAGGACAACCGCAAAAATCCCAGCTTGGTCATCTTGGCATCAGTGGGTGGCAATAGATGATACTCGAAGAGCTAAAATGGAAAAATCAAGACCAAAGGATGTTGAACACCTTCAATTTACCTAGTTCATTTTAATATTTTATGATGGTAGAGAAACATAAAAAAGACAGGAGCTAGAGAACACACCACAAAGGGTCAGGACTAATACCAATACCCAAATCTTGTCCAAATAATGATCCATTGGCAAGGAAGTAGGCACAAGTCAGGCCTGAGAAAAGACTAAAAAGGAGTGATTAGACTCTATCACCTTACTTCTGTTTCCAGCTTTCTAACAGCTAACAAGTACATATGCAGAACTGGCAATAGTGTGATACAACAGGTGAAAAAAAAGGAAACATAGCAATAGAAAAAGAGTGTTTGGGGAAAAGATGCAAAGAAAATAGGAAAGATTGGAAATAGAGAAAAAAATAATTACATGGAGAAAGAAATCATTCAAGAAAAGGCAGAAATGTATAAAAGGAAGCAAGAAATGAATATTGAATACAGAAGTAAAAGCAGAAAGTGGAGAAACAGACATCATGACTGAATAAGCACCAATTTACAGTCCTAAATTTCAGCTTCAACTGACTGGCTTCAAGCTTCCTTCTGTTCCAAATTCAACTAAAAAGAGTATGACTGATCACACTAATACAGTACAGTCATGCACGAGAAAGAGAAGAGAAGAGAAGAAGAGAAGAGAAGAGAAGAGAAGAGAAGAGAAGAGAAGAGAAGAGAAGAGAAGAGAAGAGAAGAGAAAGAAGAGAAGAGAAGAGAAGAGAAGAGAAGAGAAGAGAGAAGAGAGAGAGAGAGAAAAGGGGGGGAGAGGGAGGGAGGGAGAGAGATGTATGTAGATCGCTGTACTTAAAATCAGATATATCACACTGTAACTACTCCTCAGATCTATACCCACTTCTAATCAGCTGTCTCAAGACATCTCTGTAATTGACACTGCTAATTTAAGCCAATGATCCAAGACAGCTCATGGAACCAGATGACAATCTGGAGGGAAAAAAATTGTTTCCTACTGAAGCAAGAAAAGCTCAGGGGAAAATTTAGATAGAGGGAAGCAGTCTGTAGACCATCTGAATGGTGATTACTTGATGAACGAGATTCATTAGCACTAATTTACCATAGGAAGTCAACTATTTCTGTTTAAGGTAGTACTGCTTGCTTAAACCATCCATACTGGTAGAGGGCTAAGAAATAAAGAATAAGGACATGCAACATTGTTCAAGACTGCAGGGGGTGGAAAATAAGGAGCCTCCACCTATCCTGATCTTTTCTCCAGAATTATCAAAGGAAAGGAGGGAAAAATAACACTGCACTGGGTGGAAGGCAAGAAGAATCATATATTCCTAGCTCAACAGTACGAAATCAAGCATCTTTCCCATAACTAACTGTCCTAGATGAGCATTTTTCATGGGTTTTTAATTATAATCCCAAAAGAAAACCTTATCCTGCAACCAAAAATAAACACCTAACTCCAGGAAGTCAATGATCCAGCCACATCCCTCAAGTTTGTATTTCTGGAATGCCTGAAACAAAAAACTTAACACAGTGAGTTGATATGAGCCACATACATAAAAGAGTAAGCAAAGGAAAGGTGAGTACTAGAACCCATATCCGAAAAGCTGAGTACAGGATTTGGTAATTTAAGGCAGGACCTTAAGAGAGTTTTCTGTGTGCCCTCTCTGGTCTCTTCGCACAGCGCTCAAGCAAGTAAGGGAAGACACTTCTCAAAAACACTTAGCATTTGTTCTCCTCAATTGTGCCTGCAAACCGTGGCACCCTTGTCCCATCTCGGTTCTGGTTTCCTAGACACACCTTCCCAACTGCGTTCGCCTGCAGCCTTTCTCACCCTCTCACGCTCCTTCACTCCCCTCCACCCTTCACTCCTGCGGATCCCACCTCCCTTCTCCCACCCTTACACGACTCTACACCTCTGACACCCCCACTGAGGACACCCTCCACCTCAGCATCCCGAGTGCATTCCCCAGAACCAGCCCCAGGATCTCAGCTTCCCCACGCCCTCCCCGCCGAAGCGCACGCCGCATCCCAGATCCTCACATCCTTCTACTGCCGGACGCCCCCACACCACGCCTCACGCCCCTTCCTGCGCTCCCACCAGCCTGCCTTCCCTCCCTGACCCAGCCTTTGGGGCCCCACCTCCGGAAGTTCTCAGAGCCCCACCAACGCCCTGGGCCGCACCTGCCGCCAATCCTCAAGTTCTATCCCACGGCCTTCCAACCTGGCCCACGGTCCCCTGGAATCTGCTGGGCTCCCTCGGCCATCCGCTCAGAGGCGCACCCAACCCCGGCAGAGGCCGGGTCCACCTCCTGGACTGTTCCCCATTGGCTGGCTCAGGACCGACACGACACTTCGGGGGAACAATAGGGTACCAGAGCTGTCTGTCAGACGCAGAGGCGTGGCTGAAGCTGCGTTCTCACTTCTTAAGTGGGTACTACAGAAATCACTTAGCATCCAGGAGGTGGGACTTTATGCTCCTGCCGGGCTGTGATTGGCCCACTAGTGCGAGCGAGAGCGCGGCCAGATAGTGCTCGAGGCAGTTTGGTTGAGGGCCGAGGAGTGACGTGTCGGTCCGCGGACTGCGAGTAAGTCGCGTGGGCGGGGTGCCACCGCGGTCCGTTGAGGCCTAGTCACGTGACCAGAAGCGGAAACTACGCGGAGAAACAGCCGAAACTACAAACCTCTCGGGTCCACTTCTGAGTTACTCTAAGGTAAAAATTAATCATTACCTAACCTAAGATTAAAGGAGAAGAATTTTCTGTCATCAGTAAAAACGCAAACGCTTCCTAGTGCAGACCGTCTCTTCTCGGACTGTTGGCTCAGGAGCCGTTTACGACGGCGCTCCTGGAACCCGTGGCTGACAGGAGCCCTGCAGCCTCGCGAGGCCTTTCGTTTCCAGTCCCTGAATGGCTGACTGCGTGCTTGGCCTAAAGGGGCGATAGGCTGAGGAACCCGCGGTCGCGGAGGTCGTCCTCCTCCCGGCGGTGGACAGCCCACCTGCGGCTGCCGTGCTGTACCAGCTCAGGCCGCGAAAGCTGTCCTCTCCCCCGCCCCCCGCCCCAAAAATGTTCCTGAGGGCCGGGAAGCAGCCAACTCCATGCAGGAAAACAACCTTCAAAACTTATTGAAAGCCCATTTTAATCTTGTTTTCAGAATCGTGTGTATTTTTCAGAATTCACGTTATCAAGCTTACCCCCAAGAAGTTTGATCCGGTAGACCTGCTTTTTTGTTTTGTTTTTATGTGTTCAATGTAATTTTATTAACAGGAAACTCAAGCTGAACCTGAAAGTATTGCAGAACTTCAAGTAAATGCTTCTTCAAAATATTTTGGATTTTTTCCTTAATAAAAGGGGAGGAGGAATTAAAGATTCTTTAAAGTTAAAAAAAAGTACTTTTGCAAGAACATTAAGATGGGGTTCTCGTTAATTTTTTAAATTTTGAACATGCTTCTATAAGGGAATATGTTCAAATGTCCAGGTGGTAAAATTAAGTCAACTTTTTCAGAAGTCAAAATGTACTACTAAAGAACAAAGTTTAAAATGTAGGTATATTTTTAGGGTAATTCTTTGATACCAATTGATAGGGAAAGGCATCTCTAAGTAAAACCAGTCAAGACAGCAAGGTCGTTTCTATAGTTACCATAAACTGAGAGTTTATACCTGAATTCAGTATAGCAGTTAATCCTTTCTCTTGATTTATCGGACTAAAAGTTTTGACTTGGTTGTTTCAGATAAAGTTTTTACTGTTCCATCAGTTGCTTAAAATAATGCTATTTTTAGCTTGCTTTGTAGGAGTCATGTCTTTCCCGTGGAGCTTTTGGGTCTCTCCTGATCTACTTATCTCTTTTATGCTGCTTTTGTGTACATTATCTCATGTGTTTGTTACCACATTTCTATTGTAGATATGCCACAGGCCTGGCCTCTCAACTGCACTAATAAAACTGCAGATTCCTCACTTCCAACCACTTAAATTAAGCATTTTCTATAGCTAGGATAAAATCATGTGCCATCATCCACTCAACCTCCCTCCAACACCAGCTTACTTGGTACACATACAAATTTCAGGTAGCAAAGATGTGGCCACTTAAATAACTAAGCTAATTTTTAAAACTTAAATAATGTAATCAATGATCAGTTACCAGCTGATGAAATACTGAGGTCTTCAAACCACCGCACATCAACCTGTCAGTTCTCTGCAATAGTATTGACAAATGACCAGAGATTTCACAGAGTACGGGAAGTAAATCTTATTTTAAACCATGTCTTTAACAATTTTTTGTGCACAAGCTGGAAAACAATGCCTACTTCCAAGATGCCCTCTATTTGAAAACTCGCTGTACCTTGAACTTGGTTTACATCTCCTGGCAGGGATTTTTAAACCCTTTTGTCTTGCACAGTGAACGTTTCTGTCAACAAAATAATCTCTTCCCTAATGAAAATGTTCAATACACTGCAATCTAGAAGAAACCCTCCCTTCATGAATACATGAGAGATATACATACAGACTTTAAAACAAATAATCCTAAATTCTTTCCCAGATGTTAATATGATCATAATTACATAATCAAAATTTCCTCAGGGAACATTTTTCAGAACTAATCCTTCAAAACACTACAACCAAATTTACCCATGACAAAGTCTTGGGTTCCATGAATATGGTTCTTGATGTGGTGATTTGTAAATTCAACCATTAAACATTTGTGGGAAACCAGCTCAAGTTTAATTGACATTTTAAAATTATATAAGTGTTTTGACATCTGTCCCCTTCCCCCCACCCCATATGTAGTCTCTTTAAAATGACAGGAAAACAGCAACCAATCACAAGTTTAATGAGTTTAATAAGTTTACCCCTTCAGTTCCTATTTGCAGCACCCAATATTCTTTTGAAATGCCAGACAGACCCACAGTGGCTGACAGTAAATTTCAGATCTCCAGGGTTTTAAAAGTTCAGGTTCTCTAAGCATTCTGTGTTTCAGTGGCACTTGTCCAAAATTGGTACCTCCCTGAAGTTGGGGAACTTTACATGTACCAGTGAAAAAAGCTTTTTCCCCTTCAAGGGGAAGAAAAATCACTCCTCAAAACCCAGCAGATCTGGCTATGAGGTCTTTTCTCCTGTCCTGTTTCTTCAGGCTTTTTTTTTTTTTTTGCAGTGGAGCAAGAGACCAAAATCTAACCTGAGTTACAAGAAACAAGACAGTGATGGCTATTTTAAAGGGAGTGACCAGGAACAACTGAGATACTCCTTTACCTCCCACATCCAATATATGTGCTTCACAGAAAAACAACAAAAACAACAGGTCCACAAAATACAATAGCTAGAATTACAAAATCCATTCATCCAAGGGTAGTGGAAGGCAGGAAGAGGAAGTGGGAGGGTAAATGGCACCGGGAGAAAAAGTATTCAAATCAGTCCAGGCACAGGCGCTGGCAAATGCTAGAAAAGAGCTGCAGAAAAACATGTGGTCCTTTCAGACTCACAGGTGTTAAAAATCCACATATTGGTATCAGGAAGATTGTGCCTTCCGTGCACCAGAAACAATCCCAATTCTTCAGAGAGAAGGGAATATGCATAGGGCCCTTGGCAGAGTGGGTCCTGCCTTCCCTGTTGGGGGAGGTGAACAAGAAAAGAGCTGCACAGCCTCCTCCCAATCCCACTCATCCCCTCTGGATGGCAGATGACTCAGTGGCCTGCAGCAGCCTTCAGTTTGGCAGGAGATGGATGTGGTGAAGGGAACTTCTCTGCAGAAGTTGAGCTACTCAGGGCAGACTGCAGGTAGACCGTCTTGTGGAAGAGTCTGTTGCTTAAGAAAACCACCAAGGAGAAGAGGCGCAACTGGAAAAGGCTAAAGGGCAAGAGACCAAACTTGTTAGATCCCCAGTTGATCAGAATTATTTGACAACTTAAGTTTGACCACATTAAATTTAAAATATGGGAAAATAAGACAACTGAAATTTGATCAAGGCAGTACAGGTATTACACACATGGATTAAATAGGCAGCAACCAAGGAATGCCCTGGGTCCTGTCGCTATCATGAATGCAGTGGACACCACCATCTGAAGTATTGTAGCTTAACAGAAATAAAGTTATATTTCAGATTAATTCTGACTCGAGAAGCACTTTTCTATAGCTGACTTTGGGCACAAACTTCAAGCTATATCTGGAGACATATGCTGTATGTGTTTCATTTTCAAGACAGTTTTAAGAGAAAGTCAATTCTCTTGACACACACTGAGCATTGCTGAACAGCAAGAACATGCAAAATCCCAAACAGATCTGACATTCCTAGTATCTGTGTATCCTCACTGACTTAACCAAAACTGATCAGAGATTGACCTTTTCTCGGAAGTGATAAAACTTTTGGAATGCCAGTATTACTGCTACAGATTCATCTTAAAATACTTTGTTTTTCTATCATCAATAAACTCATGTAGCCAGATCACATGGCCAATACTTTTTTAAAAAATTGGCCATTCTTGCAAAAATGAGCTTAATTACAGGTGTTTACAAGTGCCTTATTTAATAGATTGTTAAATTTTAAAAATATATAAATTTTTGATACACTTGTGCATGTGTGTATATATACAAATATATGGAAAATTTGGGGGTATATCCAAGAAGTGCTTTTTTCTCATTAAACTCTGTATTAATGTTTTCCTGGAATGTAAAAGGTTATTTTTAAAAAAAGTCTTATTTACATAATTGAGGCATTGTAGTCTTAATCCCCTTTACACAGAAATACTTAGTATACTTTGGCTAAAACTGGCTAATACTTACTACGCTTTGCCAGGGGTCTTTGCTTCATTGGCGCTGATAATGAATAAAGGAAAGAGAATAGAGAAGAGACAGCCACTGTAAAAATAAACAAATAAGTAAAAAAGAATAAATAATTAGTCACCTTCATAACAGCCATGACTTTAGTGCAAAATTCCTTTGCCTCTAGTGCTAATATCATGGCTTGATAAACCCTTAATAAATCAAACACATCTTTCAAAAAAATAAAATAGGATTTTTCTAAGACTATATTTAACACTGCTCCAGGAGGCAACATAGAAGAATATGGCATATAGGACCCTGCAGACTAGATGTTAATGCTAACTGACAAATGTCTATGACTATCTGTCAAAGAGAAAAATCCTACTGACTTTCTAATGGCCAAATAAGAATGCAGGATGCCTAGCACAGAACCAAGTACCCGGAAGATGCTCCCTACACTATTTGTACTAGTTCCCTTCCAGCCCCTCCAGCCAAATTACCTGATAATGTATGAGGACTGCATTGCTGTGAGGAAAGCCAAGGGCAAACCAAATCCAAAGTAGTAAGGCCAATTCCTCTCTATATTTGACAATCGCTGGTGCATTTCGATTCCTAAAACAAGGAGCCAGTACAATTAAAAATCATATTTCCTTTTAGTAAAATGACTAAACATGATAGAAAAATTATTTGAGGTTTGGGTTTTAGATACTGGTTTGCCATTTAGAACACAGCTAATGAATATAGTTAAAAATTGCCCAAATCTCCTATAAAGCTGCTATGCAAATTTTATAATAACCACAATTTCAAAGCTGGCAGGTTAACTGAATTATGAATTACAACACCAGCATCCTTGGTCAAGAGTAGTCCTAAACAAAGCAAGATATCAAATAAAAAGGCAACCATTCTATAGAACAGTGGTCCCTAACCTTTTTGGCACCAGGGACCAGATCACCTATGAGAATCTAATGCCTGATGATCTAAGGTAGAGCTGAGGCGGTGATGCTGGCGCTGGGGAGCAGATTCAAAAACAGATGAAACTTCTCTACCTGGCCAGCCATTCCCCTCCTGTGTGGCCCAGTTCCTAACAGGCCATGGCCCGGGAGTTGGGGAGCAGCTTCAAAAACAGATGAAATTTCTCTACCTGGCCAGCCACTCCCCTCCTGCTGTGTGGCCCAGTTCCTAACAGGCCATGGCCTGGGAGTTGGGGGCCCTTGCTATGGAAATTATCCTCTTTCAACCATATACACCCAGACAAACATGCCAAGGGCTTTTAAAATATCCAAAAAAATCTGAATGTACTGATGTCAAATTTCTCTGACATCAAATTTCTCTAATTCAGAATAACTCATACTCATTTATGGCTCAGAGTTACATCACATTAAGCACCATAAAGGTAATGCTACATGCTGTACCTTCCAGCATCAAAGTTAAGGGTTAAACCCCCTAAGCCAAATATAAGTTCCCTCTTGCCAAAGATGGTTTGCCAAGGGCCTAAGCATTAAATAGTTTTAAGAAGTCTGCTTAGCAGCAGCATTTCCAAACTGGGCCTCCAAGTTCTGAGTTTCTTGAGATGGACTTACCTTTATTGAACCAACGATATTCAAAGCAGTATAGTGAGTAGAGAAGGGACATATGCAGGAGACTAACCAGCTGACCAACAAGATGGATGGGAAAGAGACTCACAAACATCCCCTGAAGAACAAACATGGAAAATCTTAATTCCAAAGCTTCTGAGACCTAACACTATTCACCTGCCACTCTGGGTCATCACTCTCTGCCTAGATAGCCGCACAGTTGCTTCTCAGGTTTCTGAATAGCAGGAGAGTGGAAAATGGCCAGGGTGGCAGGGAAGTGCACGTAAATTCATGTTTCTTATTTTGTGACTTAAATTTTCTAGTTTCTGTGGAAAAAAAAAATGGTTTATTTTTATTTTAATTGAAGAAATTATTTTAATTTTTTTCTTCTTCCTCATCTACCTCCCCCTGAAAAAAAGTGATTTAAATAAAAATCACCACCTCCTGTGCTCGCTTCAACAGCACATGTACTAAAATTGGAACGATACAGAAAATCATCACCTCCCATAAAGCGTATCTGTCCCAGTATAAACATTACCTCCCATAAAGCTTATCTGCCCAAGTACAAATGCAATACCCATCTTTGTGAAGCTCCCTCTAGTGAACTTTTTTTTTATAATCTGCCCACATGCCCAAGCCGGACTCACCTGGATGAGGAAAAGAGCCTGCAGCAGAAGGTTGAAGAGCATGTCAGCAATGATTTTGCTGACACTAGGGAATGGGTGAGGCTTCCTCCCTGATACTTCAAATGCCAGATCAGCTATATCCTGTAATGGAGAAAGTAACTTACCAAAACAGGAATTAAATGGCCTCAATATCCATCCCCAAAGTTAAGGCCACTGATCTGCCCTTAGACCTGCCAGGTGAGAAAAGCCCCTGGACATCTGGGAATGAGATGCTCTAGTGACTTGAGATAATTATTCCCTTTACAAGAGCACAAAGATCACCCACTGACTGCTTGATCAAGAAAAGTTAAAGCTGTGAAAGTGCTCCCTATGGCTACTAACTTCACGGGCTGAAATCTGCCAGTCAACCCATCATGCTATAGGGCCCAGTCTCCATTCTGCCCGGGACCTACTTGAAACCAAATGGCATTCACAACTTTGCTAAGCACAAACAGGGGGAGCACCCAAAGAGCACTGAAAATTGACGTGAGGAAGAATTCCAACCACGACCAAACATCTCCATGTAGTGATGGATCACCTAAGAAAGAGGGAAGTTTAACTGCAGAAATGAAAGGCCAGAAGACCGAACCCCTAGTTTATGAGTATTCCCTCCTTGACCCCACACACATCTGTTTCTTGCCAGCACATCAATATACCTATTTCAAATAGTCTTATTCTTTACAGACACACCAAATTCTGGCCACAACTCCAGTTCAGAGTAGCCATAGATATGTGCTGCTTACCTTGAGATAAGCCTGCTTACCTGGTAGTTACTGAGATGTCACAATGATTAATAGTATGCAATATACAGGAAACCACCTGGGTTTAAATCCCAGCTCTGCCACTTACTAATAGTTTAACCTTGGTAACTAACTTTCATTTCCCCAACCATTAAATGATATCTATAACAATACCCACTTAAAGGATTGTTGAGAGGTTTGAGTTAAAAACATCCAAAGCTCCTGTTACACAGGAAGTGTTCAATAAACTGAAGGACACAGGAAACGACCTCCCATCTCCATTCCAGGCAGACAGCACCATATATACTTACCAATAATTTGGGCAGTTACTGACTGAAGCACAGGAATAAACACTCGATAAAACAAGAGGAGACTGAACTGAAGGAAAGAAGCAATAAAGTAATCATTAAAAACCCTTCCTGTTTCAGTGTAATTATTTTCCAGATGGAGGTGCCTTTAGTAAATTAGAAGGCCTGAAGGGGCACCAAAATTGGAACTATTTCTATTCCCAATATTTCAACTCAGGGTTACAGATCTGACATTGCCTATAAAAAAACTTTTAGGGACATAGAAGAACACTTTGAATAGTATTCAGGACAAAATACAGGCATATACTAAGTACACACTAATATTTTATTAAAGTTAACATCTAAAAACATCTGCAAAATGTTTAAGGAAACCTGAATTATATTGAATTCCAAGTCAAAGGAAGTATTTAACTACCTGTTCCTCAAAGTACGTCGATTTCATTTAAGCCTGTGTTGGTTCTCAGTAAATTGTAGGCAACCTTTTCTAATGTGGGTTTCAATACATATCAATTTTAGTAGACTGCTATGACCAGAGGAGGGGGAAACCTTGCCCTTGGCCACTTATCCTTCCCCTATGATCCTCCATAGATGCTCTTAGCCAAAAATCCAGACACTATCAAGAGGAATTGTTACCTATAACATTAAAACTTGTGAATAGGTCATTTAAAAATAATAATACTAAAAGTATATATTCAGGGCTATCCTTTTATCTACATGTAAGTGTTCTGAGTGGGAATAAAATCACTGCAATTGCACAGAATCCTGACTTATGGTCTTATGTACACATCAGCAGTGATAGCTACTATGGTCTCAGTTTAAAGAAAACAGTTGAGAACTATCCACATAGTGACAATCTGAAGATGCTTATAAGGTGCCTGGAATTTGAGAAAAGAGAACTTACCCAGAATACTCCGCCATTCCAAGCGCAGCACTGGAAAATTCTATTAACAATACGTGGCTCACTGGAAAAGACCACATGTATTTAGCTTATTAGGCATATAGACCATTTCCATATTGTCATTCAGTAGCTCTCCATTTAATATCTTTTGTTGGTATTACTTTTCCAGCACTTATTTTTATTCCAGTGTTCTCCTAATGTCAATGAGAAAAGCCTAAAAATATTTCTAAAGAAGCAGCTTTTCTTAAAACAAAAATGTATTTTCTAAAATCCCAGATTGGAGAAGATTAAAAGAGGATGTCTGAGGTTCAACCAATAGGTAATTCCACACTGGCTCTCTTAGAAGTATGAATCAATCCAAACAATTTTTTCGTGGGTCTCTACTCACCATTCAGATTTAAAGAAAAAAATACCTTGACTTTTGAGTAAGGATTATTGCTAGACCCTAGTTTAATTAACATGGGAGGGAAAAAAATCACTTATAACATTTTTGGGGGAGAAAGTACAAAAAACAAAAAAATGGGGTACTAAAACTACAAGTCACGATGTAGGATCTTAATTGTACACTAAGGATAAGTCACTTCCTAATGCGCCTTCCGGAAGGGAGCTCAGACATTTCTGACACCAGCCTCCACTCCTTACCTCTCTTGCTTCCTCTCTATGCTCTGGGCTCTCCTCTGAGCCAGGACACTACTTGCCCTTCTTCGACGCTGCTCCTCTCTCTTTTGCTGAATCCGAGCATCTAGCTTTGAGATGGTACAAATTCCCCAGATGGAGTCTTTGATTCCCTACAGACAAGAGTATTATTTTTAAAGAGGGAAGATTATGGATTAGAGAATACTTTCCAAAGTTACATATGGTAAACTGAAATCACAGTGGAAACCATTTTATTTATTTTGCTACATGGCTTAAGAGAACTTTGATATTTTCTTTAAAATAATTCCCAATTTGGAGAAGGGTTGCAAGAATGGAGAACTTCCTAATACCTTTTTCTCCAGATTCACCAGATTAATATTTTGCCATAATTACTTACATACATACATATATACATATTTTTTCTGAATCATTTGAGAGTAGGATGCTATATCACATTTCTTTACTTTTAATTCTTCACTGTGTATTTCCTAAAAACAATGATATTCTTTTATATAACCACAAGGCAGTTATCAAGAAATTTAATATCAAAATACTTTACAGTCCATATTCCAATTTCTCCATTTGTCCCAATAATGCCCTTGACTGCATTTTTACCCCTCAAGTATCAGAATTCAGTTCAGAATCACATGTTGTATTTAGTTTGTCATGTCTCTTTAGTCTCCTTTACTCAGGAACAGCTCCTTAACCTTTCTTTTTGAAGTATATAGGCCTGTTGTTTTGTGGTAGTCCCTCAATTCAGGTTTGTTTCCTCAAATTAGACCCAGATTATATATTTTTGACAGGAATATTACATAAGTGATGATATACACTCTCAGGTATTACATTCAGAGGCACACGATATCTGTCTTGCTGGTGATGTTAATTTTACATACTCATTCAAGGTGTTATCCAGCTTCTCCATTGTGGAGTTGCACATTTCCCCCTTGCAACTAATAAGTAATCTCTGGGCAAACGCTTCTGAGACCATCCAAATACCCTGCTCAAGTTCCCTCCCCTAAATTTACATCCATTGACAATTCTGGCCCAACCAATCTTGAATAAACTGGTTGCAAAATAGTGGTTTTCCAACTCCTATACACTTATCAATACTATAAAGCCAAGTTACAACCTTCCTTTATACTCTTCCAATATCAAATGCCTACAGTATGACCAATATCCTGTACCAAACTAGTGATACAAGGGTAAATTAAACATCAGTCTCTAGAAAGGACAAGGGCTGGACCAAGGTTGGAGCAAGACTCAAAGAAATAATTACTATAAAAAAATGTGAAAAGCTATAGGAAAAGAACATGCCAATAAGACAAACAACATGGTAGTGTAGCTGGAGGAGAATGTCCTTAAAGACTATATGATGGAGGAGAGGGCCCTTAAGTCTATAAAAACAGTGACAGAGGCACTTGCCAACCATATTGGAAGAGCTCCAATAGCAGAAAGGTTACTGTTTGCTACAAACACTAGAACTGCCTATCACCCAGTTCAAAGAACTGCATTCACTCATCTACTCACCCACATACTAAGCATCTTTAATGAGCTAAACACTGGCTATACGGAAATGCTCAAGAAACATAACTTAGCAGTAAAAGTATACAAGTAAACAACAAAAAATTATAGTTTACGTAAGTGCCTCAACAGTTTTATGTCCAAAGTAGGGTGGTAGCACTGGGCTATTCAACTTCGTTAAGCAGCAGCACAAAAAGGCATTCCAGAAGCAATAGTGAACTGGATTCAAAGGTGGCATTTCACCTATTGTTCTTAACTAAAACAAACTTTAGAGATAATTGCCAGGATACAGAGAAATGAGCAAGTTTATGAACTATCAATAGGAGCATAAGTTGGCACAGTGTGCACTTGATCTTTTACCTGAGTAATTTTTAGTCTTATTTTGCTTTTAACTTCTCAATCTCCTACAAATAGTTTAAATATTTGATAGTTAAGTTCAAATGGCTAAGGGCCTAACGTGTGCTAGAATGATGACAGGAATCCCTACCTCTGAGACATTTACAGTCTAGTGGGGCAGACAAACCTGTAAAGTGTACATTGTAGAACTGATCCAGGGTTGAAATTATATCACACAGGAATGGCTAGAAAGTAAAGGTATTAAAAGTAGATCACATTGCATGAAGTCTCTGTGGCCTTTCTAAGAATCTCTTTCGATTCCCCTTTAACTCTAAGGTAATAAACTTTTAAACATTCCCATTGAGGAATACCTCCCCTCTCCCTCCCCCACACCCCCAATCAGAACTGGCTTTTCTCCTGCTCTAGGACTATAGCTACAGGGGCTACAACTAGGTCATCAGACCTTAGACATTCACTATAACAGGATTTTATACTATTGGAAATTTGGGTAACTAGGTCCTAAACAGATCTTTTGGGACACTTTCCTAGAGCATCATCATCTGCACCTTGTAGAATGGGGGCGAGCAGAAGTTTCTCTAAATAAATCTAAATGAAGTAGTTCAGGTTAACACTAATGTACCAATGTTCATTGCTTAGTTTTTGATCAATGTATCATGGTTACAGAAGATGTTAATAATAGCAGAACCTGGTAAAGGATACAGGGGAACTCTGTACTACCTTGTAACTTTTCTGTAGGTCTAAAATTATTCAAAAATTAAGTTAAAAAAAAAAAAGGTCTCTGGAGCCAAGTTGACTAGAGTCTAATACCAGAGACACTCACTAGACAGACAGGTTTACCAAGCTTCTGCAAGATGTAGGGTAATACGTATCTCTTGAGCAGTGTGGATTAGAATAAAAACCTGTATGTGACTTTACTTTTTTAAAAAAACAAAGAAACACATGTATGTGAAGGACCCAACAAATAGGATATAAACTCCAAAACACTTAAAGGATTTCATAGTCAATTCCCGCAGGAAAAGGGTCAAGAGATGGCTTGATGTACTCACCCTGCCAAGGTCCTGGAGAAAGGTTTTGACACTGTCAGCCATCTCTTCACCACCCAAACTACCAACTACAGAGGAGGGAGAAGCGTCTCAAAATCTTTCATCATGAAGGACCTGAAAACAGATGGAGCATAATAGGGATAAAATATTTATCTTAAAGATAAGTAATTTCATGTGAATTTCTACGTGATGCTATTTTCCACATATGTTTCTAATAGGAGTGAGTAGATTTTAGCCCTTACATACTAGAACTTGGGATTCTAAAGTTCTCAAACATGATTAAACCAATCTAGGGTATTCTCAATTTGAAACAAATCAAAATGACAGAATTTCATAGGCTGCTTGTTTAAACCTCAAATTTCAAAATATAAGTATACTTTCCCTGACCTACAACCACCTTACCAAACTGTACCTTACTGACGCAACTGGGCTACTGTCACCCAGAACTGAAAGAAAAGGAATATAGCAGGAGAAAGGCAACCTACACACCATATGAACCATCTGCTCCTTAGGTCAAATCCTACACAGATGTACTCACCTCAGGTAGACCAGTTTCTAGGGTAAGAAACTTCTGTTAATACTCCCACTTAAAAACAAACAAGAAGCCAGCTCAGAGTGATAGCTAACTCAGTACCAAGTGTATAATAACATGCTCAATGATGATACACAAGACCCTAGCTTGTAAAGACTATCATGAATTCACTCTTAATCAGCTACTCTCCTCTTCTATACATTAAGAATATTAAAATCTTTGTAGGTTTTTTTTTAGTATAAAGTGCAATAAACATGAAAATAAAAACTTAACTTCTCCATAAACATAATCCCACTACAGAACGAGCTAACTTGGGAGTTTAAAGAAGCCAATCATTTATTCTGGATTTCTCACAGGTCACTGACAGATTCTGAAATATGTCAGTCCTAGTCCAGTAGAACAGCTGTGTTATCTGAACCATGGCCATTAACACCTGGCTCTGCATGTACCAAGTGGCATGTACCAAGTGGTAACTACTGACCAACGGTGGCCTTTGAAGGACAAGTCATTTCAATTTCACATGAAGATCCTAGCAGCCTTCCTACAGGAATATCTGGTGAATTGCCGGTTTGACAAAAAGCTGAGACTTGGAGAAAAGTAAAAAGTAACCTGTCACCATTTGAGACCACAGCGACTGAATAACGCAGGGAGAACCCTCCAACTGAGCTAGAAGGAAATAAGATTAGTCTGGTTCACATCATTTTGCAGATGGAGGAACCGAGTCTCCGAAATTAAATGGCTTACCCAAGACTACAGCAAATGAAAGGCTACCGGGAACTCGAAAACTCTGGTGTTCTAACCCTCAATTGGACTTTTTACTCCAGCTTCGCAAGAGGATTGTTGTTTACCCCGAGCATCTCACGGACAAAATGTCTCTTACCTCTGGAAATACACCTGGCCACTAAATGCCTCACAGTCATTAGAACTTCTCAGGCATCTACGGAGGCACAGCCCTGCACTTTCATTTCTAAGCCTCTAAACTCAAGTCTGGAAAACAGAAAGCGGCCAGATCCACTCGAAGGAGTGGAAAGGCGAGCATTCTCACTCTCACCGGCTCCAGGTGCCTTGGACGCTTCTCTCTATAGGTCCTCGGCAATTGGGACTGAAAACCATGGACTCTCTCCGCAACCACAGCTGGGCACAAGGCGCGGAGCTGCTCACTTTTCACCTCGGTCCCACGTAGGCTAAGGACAGCCGCAACGCACCTGGGCATTCTCCCCAGGCTGCGACCTGGGCCAGCTCCTGCCCGCACATTCCGGCCGGGGGTCCCTCCTGGAGCCATTCCCGCAAGCACAAGACCCTGTGCTCGGGCCCTGCTGGCCCTCATCGCCCTACCATACACCCCATACTCCCAGGGCCCTGCAGCGCGCCAGTGGCCTGGCTCCGCCGAGCCTGAACCTACCCGGCTGCTCCGCCGCCTGGCTCCGGCCCAACACCGCAGGCCGCTCGGCTCCTCCGCGCCGGACCGAGGACTGCCGCCTGGGCGCTCCCAGGGCCGAGGCCGCTGCGCCCGCACTAGGTAGACACCG